ATAATCTTATTCCCTAGTATTTTCAGAGTGGGGCCGTCTTTTGTTGGATGAAGGAAGGTGACTGTCGCGGCCTGGATTGCAGAACGGGGGATGGACACAGAAAGAAACACACAGACACACACAAGGACATACAAGACTGCAGTAGACAATTCTACCAGTCGCTTTATTATATACTTTTTCTATGTCCGGCAGCTACTTCCTGGCACGTGACTACCTTGGGCGCCCTGAGAAAAATACATTTTCATTCCTTCCAGACGATTGCTTAAGGGAAGCAGACGTTTGCATCTTAACTTCTTGTAGCTTAACTTTTTATCTCATTACCGTATGCAGGACAATGAGATGCCTTGGCTTGTTTGCAAGACCCCAGGCACCCGGTTATCTGTCATAAAGCTATCTGTCATGAGGAATAGTTCTGTTTGTCCAACAGGCCGTGTCCAGACCTATTGACCTCTGGTGCCAAGGAGAGCACAACCAGTTTCGCTGACTCTGGGCTTAAGCCAATTTTGCCCAGGGATGGTCCCTACAGTGACCCAGGAAATGAGTCCATTTTTATGTTCCTCACTTTGAATCCAGCTCTCTTGCACTGGCTGGAGTGTGAGCTGAGTGTTCGCTTCAGTGCTACTTGAAGATATATGGAGATTCCTTCCCCAAGTCTGATCAAAAATATGGTCTTCGACCCTCAGGTTTGCTAAGACCTTAATCCTTCTCTACCTTCCTTCTGTCCCCCATCCACTAAAACACAAACACCCAGGGGTTCTGTGTTTCCTGCTGATCCAGATCCTGTCACATGGAGAGAAGAAAGAGGAGTCAGTGGTTGGCTGAACATTTTCTTTAAGGGTAAGCTAGGAATTGGGAAGCACTGCTCATTCTCCCAGCCCCCATCAGGAATGTAAGAGGGACTTGGGGACAGATGGAAGCTATTCTCCACCAAACTTCAGGGTCATGGAGAATTCTCCTCACCCTTCTAAACTCAGGATCCCAAAATTACCAAACTCCAATTTCATTTTTTGGGGTATGTGAAGTTTCTTGTCCCTTACTGTTCCTGGAGGCTCAGTGGGAAATTTTGTCCCTGTGATGGCTGTGTAACCCCAGCTATTCCAACCCTTGGTGGTATACAGGTTAAAGTGATGATGGAACAGGGGAAAGACTGATAAATCTAGATCCTGGGGCATGTTCTTTAATAGATTTTCTTATTTTTTTAAGCTCACGAATGTGTTTTACTTTTGTAAGAACAGCATTATAATAAGAAACGTAAATAGGATATCCCCAGAGAGAGATAAATGAAGCAAAATCAAGATGGTCGTGGGTGTGCAATGCCACCATCGCTGTGCTTCCTTAACCCTCAACAGCTTCAAGAAGTCAAAGTCAGCTCTCAGTAAGAGATAAAGGTGATCTCTCCTTTTCTCTAAGACCCAGTTCTTGGGATACTTTCAAATGCTGCAGAGACAGCATCTTAGAAGAAACAAATATATTTGAGAGGAATAAATACTGTTGGTTGGGAGAAACTGACCCCATCCTCTTCAGAGGATGTGGCAATGTGATGTGATAGTTTTATTTTTCATTTTTTTTTAGGAACCTCAATACAGTTTCTTCTCAAGCTTTCTCTGAGCATATGTCCTGTCCTGGGCATGCACGTGACTTTCTAATTTCCTAGTACACATAGGCCCTAATTTCCTAGAGACTCAGTCTCCCACTTTTCCTTTTGTGTTTTTGATGCTCAGTTATAATCGTTTGCACTAATGGGTGTGGATTGTTTTGTTGTATTGCAACGTTTCCAAGGAATGCCTGCTAATTTCCACCCTTTTTATTGCCTTTTACTTGATCTAGCACATAAAAAACAATAATACAAAAAAGGCAGTGATGGAGTAACTGAGAAAGAAAAAGGATAAAAAAA